TACAAATACAAATTCCAACGATAGTACCAACGATATAAGCATGTGCAGCAGTACAAGTAGTACAGGAAGTCTGACTGCTGCCAATCTAGTACCGTCTTCATTAGCCCAACTGCAGCTGCAGACGTCGCAACATCAACATCATCAACAGCAACAATTGCATACAACAGCACAACAACAGCAGCAGCAACATCAACAAGCAATACACAATACAGCAACTCAACAACGACAAATATTGGTGGATTCTAATGGACAAATCATTGGCAACTTTTTGGTACAACAACAGCCCACGAATCAACACCATCAAACTCAGGCAGCCACACAACCAACCCAACAACAGCAACATCTACAGCATCAACAACAACAACAACAGCAGCAGTTATTGCAACAAGCAGCTCAACAATTTAGCTTTCAACAGCAACATCAGAGCCAAACAACACCTAATCAACAAACCAATTCAGTGGCCGCCTTAGCGGCAGCCCAACAACAGAATTCGGTTGCATTTGCGGCAGCAGCTGCCGCTAGACAACAGCAAAGGCAACAATTGGCTCAAAAAATGTTGCCTCTGGTGAGAAAAACCTTTGAACATCAAATGAACACCAATGGAGCGCAACATTTTATAGCAAATTCCTCAGCTTAGCTCAAGCCCAACAGCAGCAGTCAAGTCATATAGAGCAAGCTCATCAGCAAATGCAACAGTTCTCCTTGACCCCTCAACCTCCACAACAACCACAACACCAGCCACAAAACCGTACATTCTTAACAAACTCAGCAGCAACAGCACAAGCCAACAACAATAGTCTAACCGCCACAGCAAATAATTTGCTAGCAGCAACACACACAACACCAGCAGCAATTACAATTGCAACAACAACTACAACAGTTGCAACAACAGCATCATCATCTAAATACATTTCAAAATGTAAACAATCAACCACAGCAGCCTCATAACCCACAACAACAGCAATTATCACCACATCATCAACACAACAACAACAGCAGCAGACACACCACAACACCAACTACTCTAACGCCTAAATTCATTCCCAAACAATTGAGTATTATTTCAATGCCTCGCGTAGTCCAACAACAGCTACAATACCCGCACGTATTGCCGCCTCCACAACAGTTGCCATTTCCGTCCACTGCCGTCGTGGCCGCCTCCAATGCAGCCGCTAACACCATGTACAATAGCAACAACAGCGCCAGCAGTAACAATAATATAAATATCCTTAAAACCGCCTTACCCATATCTGGAGTGCCTACGACAATTGCTCAGCAAAGGTCAGCAGCTAAAGCTTCCTCGGGCAAAGGACGTAAATCGACTACAAATAAACTACCACCTGGTGCGGTTAATCTAGAGCGTAGCTATCAAATTTGTCAAGCCGTCATACAAAATAGTCCCAATCGTGAAAATCTCAAAGCACAATTAAGACCACCAGCTGCTCTCTTAAGTCAACAGCAGCAGCAACAACAACAACAGCAACAACAACCTCAAATTATACACACTACAAATGCCACTTTGGCAAAAACATTGCCCGTACCGGTATCAGTAACCACTTCGGTGACGAACTTAATAAAAACCCAAGATGATGTTGTTGTGAATAATGCAAATAACAACAATACGGCAGCAACTACGGGTATGCCAGCAAATATAATGGGTGTGGGAAGACCAGGAGTTTATAAGGTAAATTCTCTTAAATAAAATATTAAAATATGTTTATATAATTGTCCCCCACATTTAAAAAACTAGGTCATTGGTCCTCGCATGGGTTTTCCACGCAAGAAATACGTACAACGTAAATCCTCACCCACTTTAATAAGACACATTTTCGCCAATCAAGGCTCTGCAGTGCTGCAAAATGCCAATGTTACAACCGTACCAACCTCAGCCGCTGTAACGGGTGGTGGTGGTGCGACCCTTAATACAGTTGGCGTTGGTCAAAAGGTGACAATAATGCAACAACCCTGTGTTTCGCCGGGCCAACAACAGGCGGCGACACAACATCTAACACATGTTCAGGCTACCCACGATATACATCACAATGGCAATGGCCAGTATGTACTAGTGCATCGTGCTAATGTAGGTGCGGCCGATAATCAGGCTCCGCGTGCTTCCAGCGCTCCACCAGTTCCTCAAAATCAGGTTTGTATGCAGTGGTTAAATGCCCAATTTTAAGAGAATTATTGTTTTATTTACCTAAACAGAATCAATTACATGGTATGAATGGTATTTCTATAACAGGACGCGGGCGTCCTGCTTCAGTGGATGTAGATTTGTTTAATACACTACAAGACATGCACAATAATACAGTTTGTAATCCGCCAACAGCAGCAAATGTCAACAATACCACACAGATAGTGAGACGTAATGTGGCAACCGGTAAGTTTTATTTATTGATTAAATATGGTGGATAGATAGATAGATAGATAGATAGATAGATAGATAGATAGATAGATAGATAGATAGATAGATAGATAGATAGATAGATAGATAGATAGATAGATAGATAGATAGATAGATAGATAGATAGATAGTAGATAGATAGATAGATAGATAGATAGATAGATAGATAGATAGATAGATAGATAGATAGATAGATAGATAGATAGATAGATAGATAGATAGATAGTAGATAGATAGATAGATAGATAGATAGATAGATAGATAGATAGATAGATAGATAGATAGATAGATAGATAGATAGATAGATAGATAGATAGATAGATAGATAGATAGATAGATAGATAGATAGATAGATAGATAGATAGATAGATAGATAGATAGATAGATAGATAGATAGATAGATAGATAGATAGATAGATAGATAGATAGATAGATAGATAGATAGATAGATAGATAGATAGATAGATAGATAGATAGATAGATAGATAGATAGTCTAGTCTAGTCTATAGTCTACTCTGTAGTATAGTCTATAGTCTAGTCTGTAGTATAGTTTATAGTCTTGTCTATAGTCTAGTTTATAGTCTAGTCTAAGTCTAGTCTATAGTCTATTCTATAGCCTAGTCTATAGTCTAGTCTATAGCATAGTCTACAGTCTACTCTATATTTTAGTATATAGTATAGTCTATAGTCTAGTATATAGTATGGTCTATAGTCTACTCTTTAATCTAGCCTAATATCTAGTTTATAATCTAGTCTATAGTACATGTAGTAACTCGTAAAAACGATAGCATATTAAGATCATCCACATTTTTCTCCTCTTTCCTCATTTTAGGCAATATATACATAGAAGGTATTGGTGATACCACTGCCACAGGTCTCGTAGATGGTAGTGGCAATTATGTAGTAACAACTTCACCTGTTCATGCCACATCAGCTACAATAGCAAGTGGTACAGGAGCAGCAGGTGTAGCCAGTCTTCTAGCTGGTGGTAACTTACGAACAAATCATCAACATCTCGATATTAGCAGTAACAGTAGTAATAGCTGTAACAGTATTGGTAGTGGTAATAGTCCAACTAACACATCAGATGCAAACAATTGTGCCTGTTCCTTAAATGCCATGGTTATATGCCAACAATGTGGAGCCTTTTGTCATGATGATTGTATAAGTTCATCGAAATTATGCGTATCCTGTGTGATTAGATGAATTATTGGCAAAAATGACAATATTAAAAGTGTTAAAACAAAATGACAACAATGTCAACAGCAGCAGCAGCAACATGAAGAAGAAACAGAAGAAAACAGTATTCGCTCACATAATTATGTAATTTGTAAAATACTACGATAATTAATAATCGCATTGCGAAAATGGTTTAAAACAATAACATTATCGCGTACTCAGAATTTCTATTAATATTTATATTTCGGTCTACTTTGTGAAATTTGTGACTTTTTTTTTAACTCCAACTAATTTTAACATTATTTTTGTTTTGAATTTATTTATTTTTTTGTTAAACCGCCTTTTTTTTGCCCCACGTGATAAATTTAACGCAGATAACGACAGGATTTTCTGCATGATTAAAGTACATTTCCTCGACTATAAAATGGTCTGTAGTCAAGACTATAGAATAGTCTGTAGTCAAAACTATAGCATAGTCTATAGTCAAGACTGTAGAATACACTATAGTCAAGACTATAGAATTGTCTACAGTCAAAACTATATAATAGTCGATAGTCAAGACTATAGAATAGACTATAGTCAAGACTATATAATAGTCTATAGTCAAGACTATAGAATAGTCTCTAGAATAGTCTATAGTCAAGACTATAGAATAGTCTGAAGTCAAGACTATAGAATAGTCTAAAGTCAAGACTAGAATAATCTGCAGTCAATACTATAGAATAGTGTATAGTCAAGACTAAAGAATAGTCTCTAGACAAGACTATAGAATAGTGTATAGTCAAGACTATAGAATAGTCTATAGTCTTGATTATAGAATAGTCTATAGTCAAGACTATAGAATATTCTATAGTCAAGACTATAAAATATTCTATAGTCAAGACTATAGAATAGTCTATAGGCAAGACTATGGAATAGTCTATAGTCAAGACAATAGAAAAGTCTATCGTCAAGACTATAGAATAGTCTATAGTCAAGACTATAGAATAGTCTATAGTCAAGACTATAGAATAGTCTATAGTCAAGACTATAGAATAGTCTATAGTCAAGACTATAGAATAGTCTATAGTCAAGACTATAGAATAGCCTATAGTCAAGACTATAGTCAATAGTCGATAGTCAAGACTATAGAATAGACTATAGTCAAGACTATAGAATAGTCTATAGTCAGGACTATAGAATAGTCTATAGTCAAGACTATAGAATAATCTATAGTCAAGACTGTAGAATAATCTATAGTCAGGACTATAGAATAGTCTATAGTCAAGACTATAGAATAATCTATAGTCAAGACTGTAGAATAATCTATAGTCAAGACTATTGAATAGTCTATAGTCAAGACTATTGAATAGTCTATAGTCAAGACTATTTAATAGTCTATAATCAAGACTGTAGAATAGTCTATAGTCAAGACTATAGAATAGTCTATAGTCAAGACTATGGAATAGTCTATAGTCAAGACAATAGAAAAGTCTATAGTCAAGACTATAGAATAGTCTATAGTCAAGACTATAGAATAGTCTATAGTCAAGACTATAGAATAGTCTATAGTCAAGACTATAGAATAGTCTACCGTCAAGACTATAGAATTGTCTATAGTCAAGACTATAGAATTGTCTATAGTCAAGACTATAGAATTGTCTATAGTCAAGACTATGGAATAGTCTATAGTCAAGACTATAGAATAGTCTATAGTCAAGACTATAGAATAATCTGTAGAATAATCTATAGTCAAGACTATTGAATAGTCTATAGTCAAGACTATTGAATAGTCTATGGTCAAGACTACAGAATAGTCTATAATCAAGACTATGGAATAGTCTATAGTCAAGACTAGAATAGTCTATAGTCAAGACTATAGAATAGTCTATAGTCAAGACTATAGAATAGTCTATAGTAAAGACAATAGAATAGTCTATAGTCAAGACTATATATATATAGAACAGTCTAAAATCTAGAGAAAATTGTGTTAACTATTGTTTACTTGAATTCTGAAAATCAAAAAATAATTTGCTTTTTATAGTTCGATTTTGTTTTCGCAACGAATAACAAAGTAACTCTCTTGTATATCTTCCAATACCGTTGCTTTTCAACCGAACATTTCTAAAAACTTTTCCTTAGAATCTTGTTATTAAATTCACCCGAATCTGTGGTATTTAAATTTTATATTTTAATCCAATTATTATTATTATTATTATTTTTTTTTAAAATTTTATGTAAATTGTATATAAAACTTATATATAATTATTTTTAATTGTTAATTATTTTATTGGCTTCTAACAGTTTAAACAAAAAAAGCATAATTCTCATACAACTCATTCAATTTAAAAATTAAATTCTTTAAAAAAATAGGGCTTTTAACATTAGTAAGGGGGGCTCGAATTCTTTTCAATTAAGTTTTTTTTATATAAATAAATAATTTTTAATATTCATTTAGCTGTAAACAACTTTTAAGTAAATATAACTTGTATATATACACACACACACACATACACATATTACTATTTGTAAGTTCATTCTATATATTAAATGCAAATATTTTTGTTCGTTATAGTTTTTTTTTTCTAATTTTTAATATAATTATTAATATTATTTTATTAATACTATAATTATAATATGTAAAATTAAGTTTATGTAATTTGCAAATATTTTATATATATAAATATATATTTTTATATAGATTTTAAGGTAAATTTTTTTCAAATTGTTTAAGCTATCATCTACAAAAAACAAAAGTTGTATTATGTTTACAAAATAAAACTAACAAATGCTATGTGACAACAACAAAAATATAAAAATTAAATAAACAAAACAACCAGAAAGAAAATACACACCATAAAACAACAACAAAACTTCTTACATTTACAACACACTATTAAATTACAAAAACCATTAAATAAAGCATGTTTATAAACCGTTTAAACATACAATTAGTTATTATATTGACAAAAAAAAAACAAACAAAAACAAAATATAAATAAAAAATATAATTATTATATTATAAACAACAAAAAATATTATATATATTATAAAAAAACAGAAAGTTTTTGCTCTTAGATGCACTCACCGCGCATAAAATTATGAATAATAATTATTATACGAATTAAAAAGAAAAGAAAAAAACAAAAACAAATAAAAACAAAAATAAAATGATTATCATTCAATAAAAATACATTTAATAATAATAAATCTCTTTAAAATTAACTTTTTAAATCTTCTAACTTTGATGTCAATTTTTAATCTAAAAAGTTAGAGGAGTTTTTAAAGTATTTTGTTTTTATTTATTTTTTTACATACATATTTTATTATAAATATAATTTATACATTTTTAACATTTTCAAATTTACATAAAATATTTTCAATAATTGTTTCCACTTCGGCCATAGCTCCATTACCCGTATCGCCACACATTAAAGTTTTCGCTACTGTTGCAACTTCATGATAACCCCATGTTTTTAGTTTTGTTATATGTTCCTGGGTAATGGGATGATCAAACATGCGTGTGTTCATGGCTGGACAGAATAGTAAAGGTTTGCTAACATCCCATGCTCGTACAACGCACAGCAAGAGATTGTCACAAAGACCCTGTGGAAGTAAAGGGAAGAGAAAAAAATAGGATTTAATCTATGTATCTTCAAAAACTGTGTTTCTACTTACCATAGCAATTTTAGCCAAAGAATTAGCACTTAAAGGTGCTATCACCAGCATATCAGCCCATTTACCCAAATCTATATGAACAACCGGATCACCACGTTTATTCCAAGCACTCCATTCATTTTGATCATCTAATATTTCTATGCCCTCTGGTATAGATGAATTTTCGATGAAATGTTTGGCACGTTCAGTAACAATAACTTTGATCTATAAGAAAGATTGTAGTATTATTAACAAAAATTTGCTTACAAAAGAAATAATTATACAACTCACATTAAAACTATAATCTTTATCTATAGCTAACAACTTTTCTATTAGCAGCGTTAACTTAATGGTAGCCACACTACCGGTACAAGCTATTAAAATATTTTTATTGGTTTTCATTTTGTATTTGATGTGATTTTGTTTGTTCTACTTTTAAATTAAAATGCTATTGCGGTGTTTTATCCGTTTTATTGGCTTTCGTCTCGCCTTCACTGAAACCCAATTTGGACCATTCAGTCTGTTCCATTAACTGATTCTTCATGCGACAATCTAAATATTCTTGAGCTTCTTTGCGGCACTGTGAATTTTGATCGTCACTGCGACGCAGACAGCTCATGTAAAGTAAATAATACTTTTTACACAAACTTTCGTGATCCAAGGGGAAACTACCCTTTTCCGGTGGTGTGGGTATGAACTTTTTCTGGCTAAAAGTATGCGAAGTCATTTAGAAGTATAGACGGGCAAATTGTGCAAGATGATAAAATGCAAAAAAGAAAAAATAGAAAAACAAGTTAGAGCAGTCAGCTGTTTACAAGTGTTGCTAATAGAGTTATTGTTAAAAAAGTGACTTAAAACGTTTTTGATGATGAATACAGGGAAATTGAAAAATAAATGTTAAATTTACTTAAAAACCATAAAAAATTAGTAAATTGTAATGATCTGTAATATGGCAACTCTACAAAAGATTGTAGTAATGTGTTATGTGGCAACTCTAAAAACTCATTAAGCCTTTGTCAGATGGAATGCAACCTGGCCTTTTTTGCATTTCCGTTTTAAGAATTATTATTGTAAGCCATTCTAATCAGAAAGGAACATAAATAAAAAAACAAATAAGCATCCTTTACAACATCAGGTGTGGGGTGCATCTTAGTAAAGCAGCTCAATGATGGATCTAAGACCTAGTCGCCAGACAATGACTGATGCATTAAATGCAGCCGGCATCGAGTTCCCTTCTTCTGCGACGCTGAGCCAACTACGAGGCTTATATGAAGCGCTAATGACACAACAAAGCAACCACGCTTTAAAACCAGCAAGCGAAGAGGATACAGTGGAAGACATGAACCAGTGCGCTGTCCAAGCAAATACTGATGCCGCTGAAAATACTATTAAGACACACGTTGTCGCAAATCCTGCTGCACAACAGCAAACACGTGCTCTAGATCAGTACGCCGTAGAAGTCAACACTGAAGTCCACGTGCATGATGCCGCTGAAACTGAAGACAATGTAACTGCTGTCCCGAAGCCCGCTGTAATTGCTGCCGCTGCCAGAATGCACACTGGAAAAACTTATGATTTTCTTCCAGATACCGCATCTGCTACAGGGTCCGACGAAATAAAAAAATTACAACTTCGTTTACAGGTGTTACAACTACAGCAACAAATACAGGCCCTAGAAGAGGGCTTATCATACCAATCTCCTGTACGCAGAATGGACTGGATGGAATTGGACGCTGCTGTTCCTATATTTAGCGGTGACGACAACCAAGACATAAACCGCTGGTTCGTAGTCTTTGAAGATTATGCGGGGATGTTTTCCGAAAAGGAAAAATGTGCAGCCATACGCCGACGTTTGGAAGGAACGGCCAAACAGTACGTTACAAACTTAGGCCTGTTACAATTTGATGACTTAAAAGCTCGCCTAACAAGAATGTTCAAACGTACAGTTTCCCGGCAAGAGGTATACAGGCAACTACAGCAAAGAAATTTAAAGCCTGACGAGTCGTGCCTCAGCTACGTGGTGGCTATGCAGTCAATCGCTGCTAAAGCTGATATAGAGGAGCAAGAGCTAGTGGACATAATAATTGATGGTGTCCCTAAGAATGACAACGCAGTCAATATGCTCTACGGCGCCAGTAGTATGGACGACTTACTACGTCGTCTGGATAGGTATGAGTGCCGCCGTCAACAACGCCGCGTTCCGTTAAAGACTGTTACCGCAGCTAAACCGATGCCTTCTGAAACCACTGGTAATAAATCGACTGAAGCTGAGGTCCGCTGCTACAACTGCTCGCAATTTGGACACTACCAAAGTCAGTGTCAGAAGCCCAGACGTCCCCCGAATTCATGTTTCGTGTGTGCAGAGATGGGACATTTCCACAAAGACTGTCCGAAGAAGAAGACTGCAGTTGGAGCCATAAATATTAAGGGTATTGATGCATTCCAATCGGTAAGTGTTGCCTTCAGACAACAAAATAAGCGCACTGATGTTATTAAATTTTTTTCTTTGCTTGATACGGGTAGCCCAATTAGTTGTATAAGTGAATCACTAGTACCGTTTGCAATCCCTATTAATAAAACTGTACCTACATTTCGCGGCGTTGGAAACAAAATCATAAATATAATCGGTCGTGTTGGATGTGACATATTTTTTCAAAATAAAACAGTAGCGGGTGATTTATTTGTTCTGCCGGATTCCGAAGCCATAGTGCCACTTTTAATCGGGCGTGATGTACTTAATAAACTTAATATTCACTTATGCAGCAAAAAAATTTCTTATAATAAAAATGAATTGTTAAAATTGAATTTAAAAAATGGATACATTGACAAAAAAATACATCGTGCGCTTGTGTTGTTTAAATTATGTAGTAGTCCTGAACTTCCACCTGCGGTAGAGAATTTATTCGATGAACTTCCATTTGCAACGTGTAATAAGAATGATTTTATTGAACCGACTAACATTAGGAGAATTATTTCACCTGAAGTAAAACATCTAGCGAGTCGTGATAAAATTGCTTCTGAAAATGAGTGTAGTATAGTTGAAAACGTTGAAGATTTAGAAATTATTAACGAAGATGAGTATTGTGAGGAAAACATGGAAATAATTTGCAACGTTGAGGATAATACGAATATAGACATTGATGAGGGACTAGATACAGCGAGTGCGTGTACATTAAGGTCAATGTTAGAAACGCAGTATTTTGATAGATTGGGATCTCCTACAAAGATGGTAGATTATTGTATGGAAATTAGGTTAACCAATGATGTACCGATTTATAGTGGTCCAAGACGGCTTTCATACCGGGAAAAGTCTGAGGTTAAATTGAAATTAAATGAACTCTTAGAGAAGGGTATTATACGCCCTAGTGATTCGGCATATGCCTCGCCGATTGTGTTAGTGAGACGGAAAAGCGGGCAATTGAGAATGTGCGTAGACTACAGGGCCCTGAACAAGATTACACTAAAGGATAATTATCCCTTACCCATAATCGAGGATTGCCTGGACTATTTAGGTAATAAAAAAATTTTTTCGACCCTTGATTTAGAAAATAGTTTTCATCAGGTACCGATGCATGAGGATTCGATAAAATATACGGCTTTCGTCACCCCTTTGGGTCAATACGAATATTGTTATATGCCTTTCGGGCTAAAAAATGCTGGTGCTGTATTCCAGCGGTTTATTAATAAAGTTTTAAGAGATTTTATAGAATCAGGTAAGATTGTAGTTTACTTAGATGATATAATCATCGCCACTGAAACTTTGGAGGAACATGTAGGATTATTGTCGGACGTGTTAGGTGCTTTAAGTGAAGTAGGTTTGAGACTTAATATGAATAAGTGTAAATTCGCATATCGGGAAATAGATTATTTAGGTTATCGTGTGAACGAGATGGGCATTAGGCCTAATGAGGATCACATCAAGTCCATAAAAGAGTATCCTATGCCTACTGACTGTGAAGGGGTAGAGCGTTGTTTAGGACTGTTTTCCTATTTCCGAAGATTTGTACAGGACTTTTCGAGAATATCAAGGCCTTTGAATATGTTGAAGAAAAATGGAAATTTTAACTGGACTGACGAATGTAGAGACGCTTTCTTGACTCTGAAGGATCGATTGACGAATGCTCCTGTGCTGGCAGTATATGATCAGCAACGTGAAACAGAATTACACACAGATGCTAGTACTAAGGGCTATGGTTCAGTGCTCCTACAGAAACTAGGAGATGGTAAATTTCACCCTATAGCTTACTACTCTAAGTGCACATCTCCGGCAGAATCTAGGTACCATAGTTTTGAATTAGAAACCATGGCCATAATATATGCGTTAAGAAGGTTCCGTATATACTTAGAAGGAATCCCTTTCACCATTGTGACCGACTGTAACTCCCTTGCACTAACATTGAGCAAGAAATTAATAAACCCTAGAATCGCCAGATGGGCTTTAGAATTGGAAAATTATAATTATAGCATTAGGCATAGAAGAGGAGAATTGATGACTCACGTCGATGCACTCAGCCGCGAACCAGTTATCGGGGTTATCGATGAGAATGAAGTCGACGTAAATATTCAGATTACGCAATCTAGGGATCCGAAGATACAGGACATTAAGATAGCACTTGAGCATGGTGAAAAAGAGGGGTTTTTGTTGGACAATAGTTTAGTGTTTAGAATAGGTAATCAGGGACAAAGACAATTATACGTGCCGGAGGAATTAGAAGAAAACATAATGAGGTTAGTACATGAGAAGTATAGTCATGTTGGTATTGGGAAATGTATGGACAGGATAAGCAAATATTATTGGTTCCCTAATATGAAGGACAAATTAAATAAATTCATAAGAAATTGCCTTAAATGTATTTACTATTCGGGCCCACATAAAAAAAATGAACGAAACCTATACAACATCGAGAAGAAGGCTATCCCTTTCGACACCTTGCATATCGACCATTTTGGTCCTTTACCAGCAATTAGATCCAAGCGTAGACACATACTAGCAGTAGTAGATGCATTTACAAAATTTACTAGGCTTTACGCTGTAAACTCGCCAGGGACAAAGGAAGCATGTTGTGCCTTACGAAAGTATTTTAGGGACTATAGTCGACCTAGGCGAATCATTAGTGACCGCGGTACGTGTTTTACTTCCGATGAATTCAATAGATTTGTAACCGAAAGAAATATTATTCATGTGAAAACTTCAGTAGCTTCCCCACAGTCGAACGGCCAAGTAGAAAGGATAAATAGAGATTTGAGGGCTATGCTATCGAAACTATCTGAGCCAACGGAACATTGTGATTGGACAGATAAACTGTCGCAAGTGGAGTTTGCCATCAACAATTCGCTGCACAGTGCTACGAAACAATCGCCGGCTATCTTACTATTTGGAGTAGAACAACGAGGAGAGATAGTAGACGAACTGACAGAATACTTACAGGACAGATACGAGGATACTAATAGGGATCTAAAGGTAATGAGGGAGGATGCATCAGAAAACATAAAAAAGTCTCAGGAGAATAACTTAAAGTATTTCCATGTTCATCACAAACCGCCAAAATCGTTCAAACCTGGAGATTTAGTTGTTTTAAAGAATGTTAATACAACCCCAGGAGTCAATAAGAAATTAATACCGAAGTACCGCGGCCCATACATCGTTCAGAAGCAATTAGGAAATGATCGTTACGAAATATCTGATGTAGAAAATTGCCAGGTGACACAATTACCCTATAAAGGTGTAGTAGATTCGACTCGATTGAAAAAATGGTTGGAAGTAAAGGACTCGGTAAAAAACAAATTATCTGAAACTGAAGGCAACACGAGTGAATACGAAGGACTATGAGTTTCTAGAAGATGAATTTTTACAAGACTTAACGCAATCGAGGTCGATTGCCTAGTCAGGTTGGCCGAGATTGTAATGATCTGTAATATGGCAACTCTACAAAAGATTGTAGTAATGTGTTATGTGGCAACTCTAAAAACTCATTAAGCCTTTGTCAGATGGAATGCAACCTGGCCTTTTTTGCATTTCCGTTTTAAGAATTATTATTGTAAGCCATTCTAATCAGAAAGGAACATAAATAAAAAAACAAATAAGCATCCTTTACAAAATATAAAAACATTTAATCTTAAAATTGTTATTTTATTAAAAACTGTTGTATTTTAGTAAAAAATTAACGTTTCCGCAAACAAAACGTTTATTCAAAGAAAAACTATTATTTTTATCTATGTACTAATATTTAACTGAAAAACTAGTATTTAGCTGAAAAGAAACACAAGAAAATTATATAAAATTGAGCGGTAAAACGTGTAAATATATATATATTTGAAAATCAAAAACTTCCCTTATATATTATATTTTACGCATTGCCAACTAATTACAACAAGATCCGGCTACCCTGGCATTCACTCAAAACTATTAACACGCTAACAAAACACCACCTGTCATCTCTATTCAGCTGCTGAATTGCTGAAATTCAGCGCCTTTTTCCTAAAATCGCCATCTTGAAAGTATTTGTAATTTTTTTGGAAGAAGAAGCATCAATTTTAATTTCATTTCTTCGCTTACGTGAAATATTTATAAGTGTTTTAGTTAAAAAAAAAGAAAATCTATAATATATTAAAAAATCATAGTGCTTAATATAATTATAATAAAAATATTAATGAATTAAGACTGAAATATATGTAAAAAAGAGCATTTTATAAAATTTAAGGTAAGCTAAAACAAACAATGAAAAAATGTGTGTATTTGACCAACAATATGGTTTTTTTTTTTGATGACGAAGAGAAAATTTTTTTTACGTTGTAAATTTGTTATGAAAATTAATTAAATATTGAAAAAATGTTTGTTAATGAAATAAAAAAATAAAATTTAATATTTTTAAATAAAATTATGAAAGAAAAATGGAAAAAATTGATCAATTTCAGGGCTAAATGACAAGTGAAAAAAGGTGAAAAATTTACGCATACACACAAATATGCAAAAACAAAAAAAAAAAAAAACAAAAGTGTGTGTGTGAGTGTTTGAAAGCAAAAAAAAAATGTTGAAATTTTTCATGACAATTGTGTAGAAAAAAAGTGGGGTTTTATCAATTTTTTATTAAATTTAGTGGTATTGATGTTAATTATTGGGTAAAACCCCCTTAAAACCAACCAAACTTAATTTTTCTTATATTTATCAATATGTTTGTTTTTGTTGTTATTGTTTTAAAAGAAAAATATCTATAACGAAACTAAATAAGATTTGTGTTTGTTTTTCTTTTTAATTATTTGCAGATATCAAAATAAATAGCAAATATAAATAAGAAAGAAGCACAACAGAATTATTATTATTGAAAAAAATTAACCATAAAAGTTAAAAAAAGAAAAAAAAAAAACAATAAACAATTGCCGTAGCCATGGATATTGCTACTAGCAGCAGGCCAGCGCGAGAATGAACAACGTGTCGCCGAAGAATATTTATCCAGTTTATCGGATTTAAATTGCAACAGTAAACCCTTAATCAATATGCTGACCATGTTGGCTGAGGAAAATATTGAATATGCTGCCGTCATCGTTAAAGTCGTTGAAGATCATATAGCCAAAGGTTAAAATTATTCATTTTTATATTATTATTATTATTACAATTAATATAATAACAATTAATTGGAATTTAAGAAGTATAATGCTAGAGTATTAGGTAAATGCCTAGAAATAGAAGTTATAAAATCACTGACGTGGATATTGAAAGCACTATATTAGAGTAATTGACATATGTACGAATCGAAAGAGAAGTGAAAATTGTTGATGATGTTTGAATCAAAAACAATTATCTAAAGTTTATTGTACTCTTACTAGAGCTGGTTACCTTGAAAGTCCTCATGATACATAAATTGACAAATTTACGGCCCAATAATGAGATGACCACGCATAGCACTTTCTATTTATCGTTTAATTTGACTTCTACTAATATATAAATGAAAACAACGAAATGGGACAGAAACAAACAAAAGTTGAAATTTGGATACATATGCTTATAAAAGTTCAGATAAATTACCAAATAACGTTTTCGATAAACGATTGAAACAGCTTCCGGCTTTCTCAAGATATCATTAAAATATTGATAATCAGATTCTTTTAATAGCGATGCAAAGTTAGACTCATGTTTAGTACGTATTAGATATTAATTATCCACGTAACTGATAGGTTCCGTTTTCCTGTAGCTTAGAAGAAACCCTGTTTTATAAAAAAATCAACACCTGTGAAAATTTTGAACAGAATTTTAATACTTATCGTAGCATTCCTTAAAAAAAATTGTATGGTTATTATTAACGGGAACAACTTTTCAATAAGTCTGAAGTATTTTCTACATGTTAAATAGTTATAGATTAGTATGAGATATTTTCTTAAGAGCGGCTTGGTTGTTCTCAAATCTTGTACACGGCAGTAAGTGAGAAGTGCAAACTAATTGAAATCAACACCTGTAGATAACTGTGAACGTTTTCAATAGAATTTAGCGAAAGCAATGGAACTTTTCTAAGAAATTTAAAATTTTCGAAAGGAATTCTTAAATCCATCGATAAGTTTGAACAATTTTTTAAAATTTCAACAGTTATCGATAAATATGAAACATTATTTTAAGAAATTTAATTGCTTTCGATAACTAGAAGACATTTTCTAGATTTCAATAGTTATCAATAAGTGGAATAATTTATTTATAAATTTTGTAGATATCGTTGTCTATAACAAATTAAATTTAACGATATGGATAACTGTGATACGTTTCATAGATTGTTGTGGAGAAGTTATGTAGTTATCCATAAGTGAAACACATTTGTTTAAGAATTTTTGTGGATGTCGTTAACTGGAATACATTTTTTAAAAAAATTCTTAAGCTATCGATCACAGTGTTAATTTTTTGGAGAATTTCAATAGTTAACGATAAATATGAAAATATTTATTAGGAAATTTTGAAGATATCGATAATTGGAAGTAAGTTGCTTGAAAAAATTAGTCGATATCGATAACTGGCAGTAAGTTGCTTGAGGAATTTAGTCGATATCGATAACTGGCAGTAAGTTGCATGAGAAATTTTGTCGATATCGAGAAGTGAAACAAACTGGTTAGAAGATAGATAGATAGATAGATAGATAGATAGATAGATAGATCGCTAGCTAATCGATCGCTAGATGATAGCTAGCTCGATAGATCGTATCGATAGCTAGATCGCTCGCTCGCTCGCTCTCGATCTCGCTAGCTCGCTAGCTCGATCGATAGCTCTCGCTCGCTCGCTCGCTCGCTCGCTCTCTCGCTAGCTCGCTACTCGCTCGCTCGCTCGCTCGCTAGCTCGCTCGCTCGCTCCTCGCTCGCTCGCTCGCTCTCGCTCTCGCTCGCTCTCTCGTCGCTCGCTCGCTCGCTCGCTCGCTCGCTCGCTCGCTCGCTCGCTCGCTCGCTCGCTCGCTGCTCGCTCGCTCGCTCGCTCGCTCGCTCGCTCGCTCGCTCGCTCGCTCGCTCGCTCGCTCGCTCGCTCTCTCGCTCGCTCGCTCGCTCGCTCGCTCGCTGCTCGCTCGCTCTCGCTCGCTCGCTCTCGCTGCTCGCTCGCTCGCTCGCTCGCTCGCTCGCTCGCCCTCGCTTTGCTCGCCGTTTCCCTCCCGGTCCCTCTTGCCTTTTTCTCGCCTTCCCCCGCTCCCTGCCTCTTCGTTCCCCCCTTTCTTTCCCCGCCCTCCCTCCCTCTTCTCGCCGTGTCCTCTCCCCTTCCCTCTCCTCCCCCTTCCCTCTCCTAAAGCCTCTTAAGATAGTCGCATGGTTTGATGTTTCAAAGCATTAGCAGTTCTTATTCCTACCGATGAGTTAGTGCCCTGAAAATCCTCTTATAGCCACAGCAGAATCTACTCTACGAAGAGCTCCAAATATTTCTTTCCAAAGGGTGTGTAGTGGGGAAACACGAACTGTACAAGCCGCCACGCTACTCACTAGCTTAGTAGACTTAAATTCATTCGTATAGGTAATGAGCGTGGTAATTGCTAAGAAGAAAAGTTCCTCCTAATATTTGCTTGAAGTAATAGTAGAGTTTTACAGGATGGGGATTGAAAATTTCCTATATATAGGACAATAGCTAGGGCAGAGTTTACACAAAGAAGTGTTCTCTAATGTATCTGTAATCATGAACTTGCAAATTGACACAATATAACTTTTTTGCTAAGTTGTTGGCTGCTGTTATCTGAATTGAGTTTTAACTTGAACTTGTTCACTTAGAAAGTACATTATTACACGACTGACTTTAGGAGTTCATGCTTGATATCTTTGCTAAATAAAAATCTCACGTAATAACCACTCTAAGTTCTACAGAAAAATCAATAAATTGACACGAATTGAAAACACCAACATTTGCATTATACTTAAAACTAACAACTTAAATTCCAATAAAACTAATTAATAATCAAAAATCTCTTTAAAAAATAATATTTCAGCTATTTTTTTTAAAAAAAAACAAAAACATTACAAAAAAACTTTGTGAAACAAATAAAAAAATTCTTAAACAATTGCATAAAATTGTTTTTTTCCTTTTAACAAAATCAATTTTCAATAAGATTAAGTTAAAATAAAAAATTTCAAAAAACAAACAACACTTTGAATTTTAGTTTTTCCAAGAAACCAACAAAAAAAATCTTAATTTTTTATACTTAAAACAGGTTCCTTCTGAAATTAAATTGCCAATATTGTATTTAATTGATTCTATTGTAAAAAATGTTAAAAGCACTTATGTGCAACTCTTCAGCCAATGTATTGTCAATATATTTTGTGGAGCCTTTGAAAAGGTAAGTTTTGAAAATTTGGTGATTGAAAATTATATAATATATTAAAAATGTGTGTATGTGTGTGTTAGGTTAATGAAAAAATCCGGGAACGCATGTATGCTTTACGGCAAACCTGGAATGAGGTATTCTCGGCACAAAGATTATATGCTTTAGATGTTAAAGTTAAACGTTTGGATCACAATTGGCCCATAACCGCCAAACAACCATCAATACATGTTAATCCAAATTTTCTAAAGGTACGACAGAGATTTTGAGAATTTGAAAGAATGTTTGTTTGTTAATTTTGTTTTTGTTGTTTTAAATTAGGCTAATAATGCCCAGGCTATACCCACAGAAATGGAGAAAATTTTACAGGATAAAACCAGAGAACTGTTGGAATTGAAAAAACGTAAATTAGAATTGGAATTGGAGGCCACTAAGAAACATTTAGAGGAACAGGAAAAACAATTCTCTAAGACAGCAGAAGGTGTTATAGCACCAGTAGAGGCATTAGTGGCGGCCAATAGTTTACAGACTGTAGGCATTAGGGGAGCAGCTATGCCAACACAAATGATGCCTGGTCTTATGGCACCCGGCTATATGGGGGGTCCTAGCATAGCTGTTAATCCAGCCATGAGACCAGCCATGTTTCATGCTAATATAAGAGGTTTTCGACCTAATCTACACCCCAACATGATGAATAATACAGCACAGGTGAGAGTTGGAGAGTTTTCAAACAAATGTAAACTTTTTTAATGGAATATTAACTTTAATAGGGAATGCAGGGCGGTAATATGATGCCAGCAGCTATGAATGCAGCAAATCTTAACAAACCCAAGGTGCATCCGGTCAATTCAGCTTTGTTAAACTCGGTAAGACAAAGAGATCCACGCCTGCAGCGCCAACAGCAACAACAGCAGCAGCAGCAGCAACAAATGCAACAGCAGCAAATGCAACAAAATAATGAAAGATCTTTGGCGGCGCAACAGCAAAATGTACGCTCCTCCCATTTGGACAAAGATAAACATGAACGTAATCACAAAAGTAGCCACAAGTCACCAACACGCATTAACTCCAGCAGTCGTTCTTCGGGCAGCAGTAGCAGTCGTTCTAGTAAAAGTTCTCAACGTGATAAAGAGCGAGAACGTGATAGGGAACGTAAACGTAGTGAATCAAAAAGTTCTACCACTTCATCCTCATCTTCTGGCTCGAATGCAACTAATAATGAGCGTAAAAAAGGATTTTCTAAAACAGACAAAACAACTTCAAAGTGTGATAAAGATGCCTTTGAGATTGCTCCTTTGGCAACAGCATTTAAACGCAAATCTACATCACCCACATCGTCACCCACTAAATCACGTGATTCAAAACGTTCCAGTAGCCATAAAACACGTAATTTATCACGCAGTAAAACAAGATCACGTAGTCGTTCTCCTGATGATAAACCAACAACTCACGAACAACATTTGGTGATGTTGATCTTAGACGTAATTCTACTTCATCAACATCATCTTCTATGATAAACTCACCAGAAAAACGACCAAAAATAATAGATTCTGATCAAGAAACTTGCAGCAAAAATAATAAAAAGGAAGATTTATTAAAAACAACAACAACAACAACAGTGGCCAATAATAACAACAACAACAATAGCGAAAAAGAACTAGACAAAAGTAAGAAATGTCTTCTACTGTATACAATTATTATTATTACTATAACTGTGATTAGTAGGATTAAATTATCATTAAATGACTGTGATAAACCATATTTACCCAATGATAAACCCACCCCAAAGAGTTGTAGGTCGTTTGTTTTTTCTGGGTTGTTAGTTTAAACTCTGTTTAAAGGGTTTTCGAAGTAAAAAAAAATCTGTTAAAGTTTAGGAGTTTAGGTGTTGTTTTGTTGTACTTCCATTTAATGGTTGTTGGTCGTTTCTTGCATACGCTCTCAATTGATTTTATTAGTTGTACTTATAAGTAAACATATTTTTTAATAATAATTTAGTATTTAAATTGTTTTAAAACTTGAAAATAAACTGTTTTAAAACTTGCCCATTTTCGTTGTTTTAATTCCTTTCTTATAAAACATATAGAATGTTGTACTTTTTTGTTACAAAATCTGCTCTTTAAGACTCTTTGGGGTTTAGGTTGTTTTTTTTAAACAAGTTATTAAATAAGCTTAAATTAAATTTAAACAAATTTGACTGTGATAAGTAACTAAACTGTGTTAAATCTAAAAAAAAAAGAAAACAAAACTACATTAAAGTGTAAAAAAAATGTTAACATTTTAAAAATTTTTTATTTTTCATTTTCATTTTAAATGATTACAAAACAAAACGAAAAATAAATAAGAAAAAAACAAACAAAAAACTTATATCTAAAAAAAACTCAAAATTTTTTAAACAATCCTAACAATTGTCGAAGTTTTGAACTAAACCACTAGTTAGCAGCAAGTTTTAAAAGGCACTAACTACTCCCGGAAAGAAGTCTTAACTAAAACTAGTGCTTTTTAAAACAATGATTTTCTTGTTAAATATAAAATTTGTAAACTTTTTCTGGTTTTTTAAGCTGCAAAACAATATATTTTAGCCATTTAGTAGTTATTATTTATGTAAAATTTTTATTTTTTTTTTCTTTATTATAATAGTTTTTATTTTTGGTGATGATGTTTTTTTTTTAATTTCTTTATTACTTCTTTTATGCTACAGCACTTTGTCGTTTTTTGGTTTTTTTTTATAATTACTTTATTATTTGGTACTTTTTTTTTTTACTTTTAAATAAGGGGTGTTTTTGTTTAAGAAGTATATTTATCTTAATAATAGTAGTAAAGTTAAGTTACTAACAACAGCAAAAGTTTTTTAACTTTAAAAAGAATCTGTGAAATAACAAAATCTTAAAAAGTTTCAAAATCCCTACAATATTGAGTATTTTAAGCTAGAGTTTTAAACATTGAGTTGAAAACATTTAAAATGTTTCTGCGGCTATTGGAATCTGGCTACAAAGAAGCACTTGGAAGAAATGGTTAATGCAGCAACTGTTGCAAGGCGACTTAAGTTTTCAATGAAAGAAAAGACACCATTTTCTGGCAACTGTTACAGCAACTATGGATGACTTATACGGAAGAAAATTGTTCAGTCAACAACTGCTGCAGTGATTAAGAGGGACTGCAGTCTCAAGTGAAAGAAAACAGTACATTTTAGACGGCTTAGTTGGAAAAAAAATGATTCATTCATAAATTGCTACATCGATCCTGGCAGATACAAGTCTTTATCAACAACTATTCTTTCGTTTAAAGACAAATCACGATTCTATTCAACAACTTGAGTCTCAAACGAAAGAAAGCAGCTTATTACACAGATCAGACCCATGTCTTATTTGGAAGAAAATGTCCATTTATCCAACTGTTATATCGATTAAGGATGACTCAAGGCTCTCCAGGAAAGAAAATATATTAAACAACTGATACAGTTTTTCAGAATGACTAAAGTCTTTCTCAACGACTTTCATTTGGTTTAAATCTCAAACAAAAGATAGTCCATTTCACTACTGCAATATCGATTCTTGACGACTCAAGTCTTATTTGGATGAAAATGGTCCATTAAATAACTGCTACATCGTTTTAGGATGACTCAAGTCTCTCTCAATAACTGTTCTAACGATTAAAGGCGAATTGCGATTCCATTCCATCGATTCTAGAAAACGAAAGTCATTCATTAAAGATAACTGAAGTTTCAGTAGAAAAAATAGTCCATTTACCAAGTGATGATTGAATTCAGAAACGAAAGAAAACTTCATTTTAGATGACTCAAGTCTTATTTGGATGAAAATGATTATTCAGAAATTGCTACATGGATTCTGGCAGATACTAAGACTTTCTCAACAACTATTCTTTAGATTAAAGACAAATTACGATTCTATTCAACAGTGGGAGTCTTAAACGAAAGAAAGCAGCACATTACACAATTGCTACATCGATCCGAGTCGATACAAGCCTTATTTGGAATAAAATGGTTCATATAACCAACTGTTATATCGATTAAGAATGACTCAAGGCTTTCCAACAACTGATACAGTGTTTCAGAATGACTCAAGACTTTCTCAACAACTGTTCTTTTGGTTTAAGTCTCTAACGAAAGAAGAGAGTCCATTTAACTATTGCTATATCGATTCTTGACGACTCAAGTCTTATTTGGATGAAAATGGTTCATTGAATAACTGCTATGTCGTTTCAAGATGACTCAAGTCTCTCACAACAACTGTTCTATCGATTTAAGACGGATCTAGAGTCCATTCAACAACTGTTACATCTATTCCAGAAAACGCTCGTCTCACTCGGGAGATTCAGACCGACTCAACACTCTCTCGGAAGAAAATTCTCCGTTTGGAAACATCTACAGCGATTCAAGACGACTAAGTCTTTCTTAACAACTGTTCTATCGATTAATGACGATTCACGACTATACTCACCAACTTCCGCCACAAATTCTATAAAACTCAAGACTCAGGAAAATATAGTCCAATCAACAAGTGCTACATCGATTCAAGGCGATTCCTAAAGATTCCAACAACTGCTTTATCGATTCATGTCTCATTTTTAAGAGAACTTTTCACAGAGATTTAGGACGTCTCAAGTTTATCGCTAAAAGTCTCAAGCCTCTTTAATGGGAAAGAGAATATACCATTCAAAAACATAGATAAAATGTGACTCAGGTCTCTAACGTAAGGAAACTCGGGAAAAAAGTGGATCCTTTAACAATTTCTATCTATATCGTTTGAAAACGATTCGAATATGTCAGAAACATCGAAAATTGGCAAATGTTTTATAATTATTTTTGGGAAACAAGCCCCCATAACTATTTTCGCACATAAGTTCGAATTTTCAATATTTAATTTCGAATTTTCGAAAATATTAGAAAAAGCTGAAATTATATTTTTATGATTCCTCTTGATGTAAAGATAATTTTAACAGTTTTTAAAAATTTTCGAACTTAAGTTCGAAATTTTTAAAACTGTTAAAATTATCTTTACATCAAGAGGAATCATAAAATATAATTTCAGCTTTTTCTAATATTTTCGAAAATTCGAAATTAAATATTGAAAATTCGAACTTATGTGCGAAAATAGTTATGGGGGCTTGTTTCCCAAAATAATTATAAAACATTTGCCAATTTTCGATGTTTCTGACATATTCGAATCGTTTTCAAACGATATAGATAGAAATTGTTAAAGGATCCACTTTTTTCCCGAGTTTCCTTACGTTAGAGACCTGAGTCACATTTTATCTATGTTTTTGAATGGTATATTCTCTTTCCCATTAAAGAGGCTTGAGACTTTTAGCGATAAACTTGAGACGTCCTAAATCTCTGTGAAAAGTTCTCTTAAAAATGAGACATGAATCGATAAAGCAGTTGTTGGAATCTTTAGGAATCGCCTTGAATCGATGTAGCACTTGTTGATTGGACTATATTTTCCTGAGTCTTGAGTTTTATAGAATTTGTGGCGGAAGTTGGTGAGTATAGTCGTGAATCGTCATTAATCGATAGAACAGTTGTTAAGAAAGACTTAGTCGTCTTGAATCGCTGTAGATGTTTCCAAACGGAGAATTTTCTTCCGAGAGAGTGTTGAGTCGGTCTGAATCTCCCGAGTGAGACGAGCGTTTTCTGGAATAGATGTAACAGTTGTTGAATGGACTCTAGATCCGTCTTAAATCGATAGAACAGTTGTTGTGAGAGACTTGAGTCATCTTGAAACGACATAGCAGTTATTCAATGAACCATTTTCATCCAAATAAGACTTGAGTCGTCAAGAATCGATATAGCAATAGTTAAATGGACTCTCTTCTTTCGTTAGAGACTTAAACCAAAAAACAGTTGTTGAGAAAGTCTTGAGTCATTCTGAAACACTGTATCAGTTGTTGGAAAGCCTTGAGTCATTCTTAATCGATATAACAGTTGGTTATATGAACCATTTTATTCCAAATAAGGCTTGTATCGACTCGGATCGATGTAGCAATTGTGTAATGTGCTGCTTTCTTTCGTTTAAGACTCCCACTGTTGAATAGAATCGTAATTTGTCTTTAATCTAAAGAATAGTTGTTGAGAAAGTCTTAGTATCTGCCAGAATCCATGTAGCAATTTCTGAATATATCATTTTCATCCAAATAAGACTTGAGTCATCTAAAATGAAGTTTTCTTTCGTTTCTGAATTCAATCATCACTTGGTAAATGGACTATTTTTTCTACTGAAACTTCAGTTATCTTTAATGAATGACTTTCGTTTTCTAGAATCGATGGAATGGAATCGCAATTCGCCTTTAATCGTTAGAACAGTTATTGAGAGAGACTTGAGTCATCCTAAAACGATGTAGCAGTTATTTAATGGACCATTTTCATCCAAATAAGACTTGAGTCGTCAAGAATCGATATTGCAGTAGTGAAATGGACTATCTTCTTTTGTTTGAGATTTAAACCAAATGAAAGTCGTTGAGAAAGACTTTAGTCATTCTGAAAACTGTATCAGTTGTTTAATATATTTTCTTTCCTGGAGAGCCTTGAGTCATCCTTAATCGATATAACAGTTGGATAAATGGACATTTTCTTCCAAATAAGACATGGGTCTGATCTGTGTAATAAGCTGCTTTCTTTCGTTTGAGACTCAAGTTGTTGAATAGAATC